AAGTAGTCATTTCTCCTGTGTAACAGAATATATTTTATTTTCTACATGACCTGCAATAGTAAAGACAATATAAATCGATAAAAGTTCATCCACTAAATGGTACCTTTTTCCATAAATATAAAACTTTCATAATTTCCTTAATGTTTACTAAATCATTTATTTGGTTCATTGACATTATGTATTTAAAGACTACAACTGTCTCAAATTCCAATTAATTTGTAGTGATGAAAGTAGGAGAATCTTACAGAGTGAATTCTTTCTTCTCCAATAGAAATATAGATTCATATAGAGTGCTAGAAGTGAAAGGGACCTAAGAGTTCATCACGTTGTGTTGTCAATTAGAGATGAGGGCACTGGGCCCAGAGACAGTAAGTGATCTGTGATCAAGCAACTCAGTGAAGACAGAATGTCTGTTGTTTGAATTTGGATCTCCTGACCTTGTTTAGTCTCATAATATTCTGCAAAGTTCCTGATTGAGCTTCTGGTCATTTATTGTAGGTGACAGACCACTCTGGAAAAGAAGAATTTTGTTCTCCTCCGTATACACATTATGAAGTCCCTCCAACTTTCTATCGATCAGCCATGCTCCTTAAGCCCCAGCTGGGATTGGGTGCAATGTCCAGACTGCCATCTGCGAAGAGTAGGATTCTGATTGCAAGTCAGCGGTCTTCAGCGAGTGCCATCCATCCACCAGGACCCATCACAACAGCTGCAAGTCTCTACACTTCTGATCCTTCAGGTAATGGGTCCTGTGATTGCTGCCTTTTTCCTGCTGCACATTGAAGTATTAATCATGTAAAATGTTGGAACTGTCTAAAATATGAATATCTCTTATCTCTTTAAAGGAGCCTTTTCTTTTTCCTTCATCTGTCTGTAGATATAAATATCGAGAAAACATATCTGTGTGTAACATCTTCCTCTATGTCACCATTACAGTGGTGGCTTTTGTTATTACCTACTGGTTTTTAGAGTTTCTCCCCCTCTAAAACACCCTGTAGATCAGGTTTCAGAAGACCTTTTCTGCCAAAGGCCAGAGAGTAAATACTTCACAGTTTATAGGTCATAGTCATCTGTGTCACTAATACTTGAAACTGACATTTATAGCCTGAAGGCCATTTTAGTCTGAAAGTAGCAGTAGGCTGCCTATGAGTGAACAGGTGCATTTCAGTACAACTTAGTTTAAAAACATAGATGGGGGATGTATTGCCAGCCCTTGAGCTATAGTTTGGCAGAGAGATATTCCTAGGGTGTCAGAGTGACCCCATCACCTTTTCATTTGTTCACTGATCTGGAGCACATCAGTTTTGCTTGCAGAATGGGACTGCTGCCCTTCCTGGCCCTCTGCTCCTGTTCTACAGTGGTGCCAGGTCTTCCCTGAGGTTCTCTGCACTTCTTTCTTTCATCCTTTCTCTATTCCCATGGTTTCTGTGAAGAATAGTATTTTATTCTAGAAATACGGTATATCCATTGTAAAAACCTTGAGTATAGACAAATATGGCAAAGACAGATCAGTATGATAAAATTCTGAATATAGAAAAATATGAAAAAGAAGCAAATTATACTTGCATTTTTGCTACCTAGAGAGTGTTAATACTATGGAATATCTTCTAATGTATTTTTCTTGCTCATTTTTCAATAACTGAAATGACACTAAATGCAAATTTTTTTCAAACTATCATATTGTAGGAATTTCCTATGTGGTCAGAATGTTTCAGAAATATTTTAAAGAGTATAATATTCTATTTGTTCATGTAGGAATTTATTCAACAAATTTTAGATATTTGTGCTGTGGAAGTTGTGGATTTAGGACTTAACCATGAATAAAATAGAGCAGCTGCCTTCCTGCAGCATGTAATCTAATTGGTAGGATAGGCACAAAGATGAACATATCATTATAAATCTGATAGATGTTATGAAAGTATGGTAGATGATACTTTGAGAGGTTGCAACCAGAAGAGTCTTACAGATCAGTAGAGGTCCTTCCAGAAGAGCCTCTTGAAAAAATAGGAAGAACAGGTTGCCTTGGGAAGTGGCATCCTAGTTTATTTACCAATTTTCCAATTACTGAAAACTGGGTTCTGCTTATTGTACATTTCTTCAGATAATATGGCAGTTTGTCTTTTCATAATAATTGTATCTTCATATTTTCATAATAAGTTATTTTAATTTAATTATTGGATACAGGCATAAAATTTTTTCAGGCTAATTTTCTAGGGGACTTCTGATGATTGTTTTTATGCTAGTGTTTCTTGTGTGTGCTATTTTCTTGACTTTTTTTGCCTAGATTGAGCATTAACATTACTATTACTTTTATTATTGCTGGGGACAAATATTTTTTATGTTTGCCATTATGTTACTTTGTGAATTATCCTTTACTTGGGTAATTATTTATGGTCTTAATGATTACTTTTTTTTTTTCCAGTACTGGGTATCAAATTTGGGTCCTCTTGCATTTGTGAGGCAGGAACTGGTAACACTGAGCTAAATCCCCAGCAATGATTGCTTTTTATTTTTTAAATTGAGTTTATTGGTACTTTTTAAATAAACCATATGGTTACATTCATTACTGGGAATTTCTGCCTTTACATGACAGATCGTGGGTCTCACTTTTTTCTCATACCCCTACCCTCTCTTCACCCGCTCAACTCTCTCCTTTTTTTTTTAAATTGAGTTTATTGGTACATTTTAGGGATACAGTACCGTTACATTCATTGTTGGGATCTTGTACCTCTACATGACAGGTCTTGGTTCTAATTTTTTTCCCTTGTCCCTGCCCTCCCTTCATCCCCTCCTCCCCTCCCCATTTACAAACACTTTATTTCCATCTTTTCATTTGCTCACATTTTTTTCTTTTCCCTTATTACCCTTCCTCTACCCATCCCACCTTCCCTACACCTTTGGCCCTTTTCTTCCAATTTCACAATGTCAATTTTCTCATTAGGATCTTATGTACTATTACAGTTTATTCACACCAGAGAAACTATTCAGTATTTACACATGTGTCACTTATTTATTTCACTTAGGAGGATATCCTCAAAATATGTATCCATTTTCCTATGAATGAATCTAATTTCTCTTTCTTTATGGCTGAGTAATATTCCATTTTATAGAAAAACCACATCTTCTAACTATGTCCTATTTACAAAGACTTTGTTTCCATTTTTTCATTTTCTCACATTTTTCTTCCATATTTCCTTTCTTCTACTCTTTCCACTTCCCCTACACCATTAGCCCCTTTGTTCCTATTTTTCATTATCACGTATACAATTTGGGTTGTATTTACACTTTTAGTTTTTCACACCAGAAAAACTATTTGGTATATACACATGTGTGTCTTATTTATTTCACTTAAGAGTGTGGCCTCAATATGTATCCATTTTCCTGTGAATGACTCTAGTTTCTCATTCTTTATGCCTGATAGTACTCCATTTTATAGAAAAACCATATCTTCTTTATCCAGTTTCGAGTTGATAGGCATTTGTGTTGCTTACAAGTTTTAGCTATTATGAACTATACCACTGTAAACATGGATGAACGTATATCACTGTGATATGATTTTTTTGGAGAGATACCCAGCAGAGGCATAGCTGGGTCAAATGAAACCTCTAATCCTAGTTGTTGGAGATATCTCCATATTGATTTCCACAGTGGTTGCACTAGTCTGCACTGCCACCAACAATGGAGAAGGATTCCTTTCTCCCCAAAACCCTGCCAACATTTGTTATTGTGTGATTTCTTGATAGCAGTCATTCTTTCTGGGGTGAGGTGGAATCTCATTTTTTGTTTTCATCTGTATCTCTCCAGTGACTACTGATCTTCAACATTTTTTTCATATATTTATTTGCTGCTTTTACTTCTTTGTGTGAGAAGCATCTGTTCAGTTCAAATGCCCATTTTAAAATCAGGGTGTCTGATTTTTTGAGTTCTTTACATATTCTAGATAATAGTCCTTTGTCTAAGGAGCAGCCAGTAAAAATTTTTTCCCACACTGTAGATTGTCTCTACTCTCTGTTGGTGGTTTCTTTTACCATGCAGAAGATTTTTTATAAGAAGAGATCCCAGTTGTTGATTCTTTCTGCTAGTTCCTATGAGGATGTGTTCATAAAGACTTTTCCTATGACAGTGTCTTTGAGAGTTCTGCCTAACTTATCTTTCAGCAAGTTTAGAGTTTCTGTTTTAATATTTAGATCTTTAATCCACTTGGATTTTGCTTTAGTGCATAGTGAAAGATAGGGGTCTAGTTTTAACCTTTAGCAGGTTGAAATCCAGTTTTTCCAGCACCATTTATTAAAGATGCTATCTTTCCTCCACTTAGGATTGTTGGCTCCTTTGTCAAAGATGGAGCTGAATACATCTGGAGTTGTGTCTGTATCTTCCAATCTATTCCACTGATCCTCTGGTCTTTTTCTTTGCTGGTACCAAGCTGTTTTTATCACAGTGGCTTTGTAGTGTAGTTTCAAATTTGAGACTGTGATACCCCCATCATGTCTCTGTTGCCTAAGATGGCTTTTGCTATTATAGGTCTCTTCTGGTTGCAAATGAATTTTTGGATTATTTTCTTGAGTTCTTTGAAATATACTATTGGAATTTCAATCAGGATTGCATTGAATCTGCATATCAGTTTTGGTAGTATAGAAATTTTAACTATGTTGATTCTTCCTGACCAGAAGAGGGGATATCTTTCCATTTTCTTAGATCCAATTTGAGCTCTTTTTTTCAGAGAGCTGTAGTTTTCAGTGTAGCAATATTTTGTTTCCTTTGTTAGATTGATTCTTAGGTGCTTCATTTTTTTATTCTTTTGTGAAAGGAATAGTTTCCCTAATTTCTCTCTTAGTGAGTCTGTTATTTGTGGACAAGAAGGCTATTGATTTTTCAGTGTTGACCTTGTATCCCGCTACTCTGCTGAAAGTGTCAGTTAAGTCAAGAAGTGTTTTGGCAGCGTTTTTTGGGGTCTTCAATGTAGTGTTATATCTATAGCAAATAATGACAGTTTAACTTCTTCCTTTCCCATCTTTATTGCTTTAATTTATTTCTCCTGTCTAACTGTTGTGGCTAATGTTTCTAGAACTATATTAAACAGGAGTGGTGATAGTGGACATCCTTATCTTGTTCCTGATTTTAGCATGAAGGTTTTCAGTGTTTGGTTATTTAATATGATGTTGGTTGTTGGGTTTTTCATAGATAGACTTTATCAAGTTGAGATAAAGACCATCTATTCCAATTTTCTGCAGCATTTTTAAAATCACAAATGGATGTTGTATATTGTCATTTGCCTTTTCTGCATCCATTGAGATGATCATATGGTTTTTGTTCTTGACTCTGTTAATATAGTGTATTACATTTATTGATTTATGTATGTTGAATCATCCTTGCATCCCTGGGATAAATCCAACTTGGTCAGGGTGTATGATCTTCTTGGTGACCCTCTGTATTCTGTTTGCCAGTGTTTTATTAAGGATTTTTGCATCTGTGTGCATTAAGGAGAATGGCCTGTAGTTCTTCTCTTTTTTGGTTGGGTCTTTCTCTGGTTTTGGAATTAAAGTAATATTTGCTTCCAGGAATGAATTTGGATGTATTACTTCCATTGAATTTCATTGAAGAATTTAAAGAGTAGAGGCATTAGTTCTTCTCTAAATGTCATGTAGAATTCAGCAGTGAATCCATCAGTACCTGGGCTTTTCTTCATTGGTAAACTTTTAATTATGTTTTGAATTTCACTGATTGTAATTGGTGTGCTTA